TCAGTGAAAAGTAGTAATACCTAGGTGTGTAAATCAAAGGCACTTTCTCTTTCTCACAGTTTTGTAAGATAAGATAAAGAATAGAACACTGAATGGACACATTTGCCACCATTTGTTTAAACTCACTGTAACAAGGAAGGAAGGATTATAGAAAATCTTAATATGCTGATGACTGACTATATTGATAATGTTCAAACATATTTATTCAGTGCTAGATGCAGTACGCTGGATTAGGCACTACATCCATTACCAATTGAAGGCCATGCCATGTGCACGCTGAGAACTTAACCTGTTCGGTCATAAAATGCACAAGCAGCATTCCTGGAGCTCTTCAAGCCATACCTTGAATATTTGTTAGGACAAGAGTCTTGCTAAATAGAACAAATAAATGCAACTGAAATTTGAGGATAGGCTCACTGAGGTTTTAAGGGTGATAATAAGGCTGTCATAACTTATGGTATAAATTTGTGAGAACACACAAAGGCTTGCATCAGTCACAGACTTTAGAGCTCTTTTAGAATTGGCGTAACACATCTAGTTAATTTTGCGTTTGAACACTTACAGTATTACTTACCGGTGATATTTCTAAATTAAAATAAATTCACTGGGTTCAAAAATCATGACTGCACAACTGCTAAAGCAGAAAAGTGAAGTTGTTACTTTAAAGCTCAGGGAAAACAAAATATTCATGATTTTAAAAAAACTCATGCTATGAACAATTTTTATGTTTCAGTTCAGTCCTTGAAAGATTAATCAGTGGTGTAAGTATGTAAATACTGGGGACAAATATCAACATTTCAAAAATAGTTTTATCTTTGCCACATTATAGATATGAATTTTGTAGGCTGATATTTATAAATCAGAAAAGGTCATCATAAACTCATAAAAATAAAATAAATTTTCTCTTAGACACTGAAGTAATATTAATCCTTTACTTCATGTACTCATTACGTTCCAATGAGAGCTACCATAAATCTATTCTTTACTGGTTTTAACTGTACATGATCAAATAGTAAAATATGTTTATTTCAAACTAGGCAAAATCAGCATTTTATATGCAAAGCTTTCTGAGCAACTCAGTGGACTTCAGATAAATAATATAAGCTATGTTGTCTCCAGAACTTACACTCCAGGGATGTTTAGTTGGCATAGAAGTCTCACAGTGATTGTTCATTCAGTAAGGGTGTAATTGAAGGTCTATTCAGTTAGGGTCTCACAATGCTCCTAATAAGACATAGTGGTCTTTTCCCAAGGAACTTCCACTCTGAATAAATTGGAGGAAATTGCTGAATTTATTCAATTATCAAAAAACTTGCTGTTCTAGAGGATGCCTTTTGCTTGCATACATACACTCAGTTGGTATTAAGAACTTTTCTCTAGTTGGTCTGTCTCAATTAACAGACCTTTAAAGTATCCTATTATGGAAACCTCAACAGCTGATTTTAGAATCTCCGAGTAAACATAAAATGAGTGGAGAATACAAGCTGGTTTCCTAACTCATATGTGAAGAGCATATAATTTCAAGTGGTTATCAAAAAGTCTCGGGGTGTGCTTACGTTCTATCAAACACACTTTAATGTTAGGCTACTAATGTAAAAAGAACACAGAATAAAGTTAGCATTCCACAATGAATGTGTAGAGATAGAACAACAGATTTTTCAGTGACATTAATAAGGTATTTGGCAAACTAAGTCTAAACAAACTTGTATGAATAGAATTTATAGTAACCTCCTGCTATGTGCTTCAAATGTAATTTCCTGTATAAAAAGCAATTAGGATCCTTGTTTCCTCTTTCCAAATTAAATCAAAGTAGATACCACAATTCATTGTCAATGATTAAGAATAAAAAGCAAAAAAAAAAAGATCTTGATGCTTCTTTTGAATTGATCCCAACTTTTCCCATACTTCCAATCTTCACAGGAGAAAGTTAGTGGAGAGTTATTCTGGGTTATAAGAAGTATTAATGTTGCTGCAAATGAAACAATGAGTTAGAGTCTAGATCAGCAGTGATGGAAAGCAATGGCAGGTGATTTACCTCATAATTCACTTTGTAATTTCAGTCTTTCAATATTTTCTTTTTTTTAAATGAAGTTCATTGACCTTCCATAAAAGCAATTCAAACTGCCGTGGACCACATTTCACCCAGAAAGTTACGCCAAGCCCAAGCACACAGTCCAGGTAAGGCCAAAGCCACATACATAGTAACTTTGAAGCAGTATCTTATGTTCCTCCTCTTTTATTCAAAATGAGAGATAACTTGCTTAAACAGAAGCCATATTTTAAAATAACGGATTGGAGAAACTTCTAGTAAATGAAGTCTGACGGACGATTGCTCACATTTGGTACTAGGTTTCCCACTATCCCATATCAGTTAAGCTGATGTGATTACATTTTACATGCATTTCTATTTTACTATATTTACTAAATAAGTATTTTTACCTTTTTGGAGATGATTCTTTCTGTGTTCCCACTATGCTTGTCATGGAATTCGAGAATAACCTTTTAGCTACTAGTATTTCCCTCCTCCCTTTTTTCCTCACTCTGGTCATTGAAAGTTAAAGGAGAACCATATTATACTCTTAGCTTTCTTGTATCCTCTCTTCCTTGGCCAAACATCACATAAAACAACCCAAAACAAAGAGGAAGAAGAGTAACTATAACACAGCATTTTATTGCAGAGAATTTTAATTTCCACAACTCCTCCTCTTTCCCAGGAATGCCAGGAATGTGTATTTCAATTTAAATTCTTACTGATTTACCAATGTTTAATAAATCGCTTAAAAATCTACATTCCTTCTGAGGTGGAGTCAAAAAATTTCTTAAAATTCACACATATACAAACACATTTTTAAACTATAAACTGAATAAATTTAGGACTGGTTACATTGTATAGGCTCAATAAAAACTTGACAAATATATGGTTAAAGTATATTTTCTAATAATTCATTCTATTTCAGGAAAATGGATTGCTATGAAATTATACTTTATAAGCAACAGAAATATAATTCCATGGTCAGAATTCTGCTCCTGTATAAAGTTGTTTTTCAATATGATCTTTATTATTCTAAAATCAATAGATTGTTGAGTACAGAGCATTTTCATCGATATGTTTTCTTCCTGTCAGATGGCGATTATTACATTCTCATCATTCAATGAACTGAACTTTACCCCAGTTATCTGCTAGGTTGGAGAATATAATTTGGAGAATTTTAGTACTAAAGTCAGAAAGTGGTCTAGCAATGCAGTTTAGATATTTGGATCCTCCTGCAACACAAACCCAGAAAATAGCACTCTTTTGAGTCTCCTGTGTATTTTGAGGTTTTCAAACAATGAGTCAGTAAATGAATTATGAATCTTGCCTTGTGGAATGAATAAATTACATGAAGTATCTAGCCCTTTGCTCCTAGCCCAAAGTTTTAAGTATAATAGAGATGAATACAAAATCTGAATGCAAAACCTTTGCATAATTAATTAACAATTCCCATGATTAATTTTCAAATTAATCTTCTTCTACTACAGTGGCAAGGTACATTGTACCCCTGGTAGAAGATGAAAAAGATTTATTATTCTGTCTTAAATGAAAATTATTCATTGATGTATCTGGCTTTCATGAGATTTTGAGCTCCTGAAACGTAGACACAATAACTTATTCATCTGTATATTCTCTGTGTCTGGCACATTATTTATTACTTTTTCTATAGTCAACAGCAAATTCTATGATGTATTCATACATTTAAATGGGCAAACATTTATATTATATTTACTGTATTATATTCCTTTCTTCTACGTGGCTTATGAACAGTGACTTATAAATTCCAATAAGTAGAATACCAAACTTAATTCTCTTGATAAAATTTAAAAGCAAATAAAAGTATTAAAATGATCAAGATTCTAAGGACTGTATAAAGTTCTCTTGTATATTCATTTATACATTTACGATATGCTTTCAGTATATTAAACATTAAAACCTTGACTAATGTTAAAGGTCAAATTTTTAAAATAAATAGGGTTATAATCTGACCTAACATGTGTCATAAATATAACTTCATATGAGTAAGATTTCTTATATTATCAAGTGCAAAGATGCATTAATAAAATTAAGCTCAATGACAAAGTTCAGATTCTCTATCAATATATGAAGTATGAAACACACATTGCAACTAAGGGGAGATACAGGTGTTGTCCTGGGCAGTAGAATTGGCTCAAAGAATGGACCGAAGTGAAGTTAAAATAGTTACACCTAAAGTAGTGATGGTGAAACTTCAGGGAAAGTGCTGAAAGTGCAGCCCAAACCCCACTACTTAGTACAAGGTACCAACACTTCATTGAAACCTGATTACTGAGGTTATACTTCAGAAAAAGCAACTTTTCCATTAACATCTTTCACCTTAAAAGAACACAGTAGCATGTGTGTCATAGGTTTGCCACAACTGACATAGAGTATATACAGCAGTAGTAATTTATCAGCCCTGGATTTCTAAATCAAAGAAGTAAAAAACCCTAACACTTAATAGGTAATATCTATTTGATAGCCACATGCCAATGAAGAAAAACTGTAGTGTATCACATGCAAATAAAAACTGCTATGAGATAGATGAACAAAAATATAGTCACCACAGTATCTGGTTATGTTAGAATTAGATTAGCTGAGAAGAAAAGATGTCTCTACCCTCTGCTTAAAAGAAACAGAATTTTCTTTCCTGCAGTTGGAACACAGTTAGATTACTACAAGAGGTTAAAAAAGTAGAAAATCCTTGAAAGTAGCACACATGACACCTGTATGTGGGATGGCCCACCACCAATAAATCAAGCATAATATTTCTACAATAAACTACAAAGCAACATATCAAGTAGGATAAATTTAATGCGTAAGTGGACTCCGGTCAGTTTGAGGCATATTTTGTTGCAAGTGAGCTGAAATTGGGTTTGTTTCCTTTCCACTGATGATAACTAACCTGTGAGAAATGCCACTCTCAGGAAAATAGAAGGCTGTCTCTTACCTTGGCACACAAATCCTCTTTCTTCATAGCCTGCATTGCAGGAGCACTTGCCGATGGGTACAAGCCATTCGCCTTCTGTACTGCAGTACATCCTTGGAGCGTCTTCCTCCTTAGAATTGTTGACACAAGAACCTCTAACTTCCACCAGGGACTGGGAGTCCATGGGTACCGTGTCAGGAAACATAGCTAGATTCTTCACTGTAAATGGGCACTTTTTGAAGTACACTCTCACAGACACCAAGGCAACGCAAGCACCGACATCTTGAAAAGCCAAATAAAATCCTTTTTTGTTGACAGGACCTACTTCTCTAATCTCAGTGTTGAGTTTAAGAATACGGTCCCCAAGATCCATCTGAGTGAAGCTTTCATCAGCAGCAATGGTGTCAATCTTTGTAAACTGATGCTCTCGGAATTTGACCCCATGATCATCATCAGATTCCATGTAGTACAAGTTGAATGTCTCCTTGCAAGTCCCCAAAACAAGTGGAATACTGTTGCAGTCCCGTAGAGTGAATTTAAGTTCCACATAGATCTTCTGGGCTGAGTTTCGGGGGACCCAGTTTGTCCTCAGCCAGTTATTTTGACTATGATCCATGACATTGCATACCTGGTAAGTCCTGATGGGCGTGTAATGTTCATCCACACCGCTGATCTCTTCCCACTGGAGAAGCAAAGAAAATGGTAGAGAGGTAGAATTAAAAAGTGAATCTTTGTAAACAATAAATGAAAGACAATGGGGTCAAAGGTATCATTGAAACTAGAGTAAATGAGCAGAAACTTCAATTTTACTGATTTTAAAAGTAGAGCAACTCCAAAATATTCCTTTTTCCTCTGAAAATAGATTTTTATTTTTTATTTCATTTTAAACAGAGTAGTTAAAAATGATAAATAACAATAGCAACATATCAACATCACAACATAAGCAAAACAAAGCAAGAACATTAAAAGAGATGCAGGGTTTCAAAATAAAATGATACGAGTGAACAGTGGCTGTTATACTACCTATTATTATCTTCAGCTACATTGCTCAGATTGCCAGATGTAAGAATGGAAGATTGTGCAAACCGTTAAAGAGAACAAAAAATAATTATTAAATAAAACATTAGAGATAATACAGGGTTTCATGAGACAAGATGGTAGGAATTCGCTACTGGTTTTCCCATTGCATATAGTTGTCTTCAAATGAGTTGCCCAGATTACCAGCTATAAGCATGCAAAATTGGTCAAAATATAAAAAATATTTTAAGCATTGACTGTTCCTTTCAATATACCATCACACATCAGCAGTATAGTTATCCCAGCTCTCTCTCTCTCTCTCTATGTATATATATATATATTGCCTTTCTTCTTTCTTTTTTCTTCTTTCTCTCATTGCAGTCATTCCTTCCTTTGAGCAGTTTCTTTCTCTTTCCTATCATTTATTGTATGTTTTGAGTTTTACTTACTTTTTCAGGTTCCTACACCTGATGTTTGCACATGTGGGTGGGATTTATTTCACTTACGAGTATGGTCTCTAGTTGCATCCATTTACTAATAAAAAGCCTCAAGTTTGTCTTTTTTGTAGCTGAATAATACTCCTCAGTTGATGGGCATTTGTGTTTTTCCAAGATTTAGCTATAACAAATTGTGCTGCTATAAACATGGGTTCACATATATCACTGTGATATGATGTTTTTAATTCTTCTGGGGAAATACCCAGAAGGGGAATAGCTGAGTTAAGTGGGACTTCCAATCTTAGTTTTGTGAGGAATCTCCAGACTGATTTCCACAGTGGTTTCACCAATTTACACTCCCAACAGCTGTGGGGAAATTTCCTTTCTCCCCACAGCCCCTCCAGCATTTGTCATTGGTTAATATCTTGATGACAACCATTCCTTCTGGGGTGAGATGGAATCTCAGTGTTGTTTTAATTTGCATTTCTTGAATGACTAATGATGTTGAATATTTTTTCATGTATTTATTCATCATTAGTATTTCTTCATCTGAGAAGTGTGTATTCATCTCAGAGGCCCAGTTTTGGGTTGGGTCTTTGAATTTTGGGGATCTGACTTTTTAAAATTCTTTATATGCTCTAGATAGAAGTCCTTTGTCTGTGGGGCAGTTGGCTAAAATTTTTTTCCCAATTCGTAGGTTTTCTTTTTACTTTATTGGTGATTTCTTTTGAAGTGCAAAACCTTTTCAATAAGATGAGATGCAGTTAATTCTTTGAAGTACTTCCTATGCAGTTTGGTTTTTTTTATGAACTCTCTGCCTACCCCTGTCTTCAAGATTTTAACTTAGTTTCTCTTCCAGTAGATTTAGAGTTTCTGTTTAATATTTATATCTTTGATCCATTTTGACTTTAATGCGTGGTGATAGACATGGGTCTAAAAAATATGGAGCGCTTCATGAATTTGCGTATCATCCTTGCACAGGGGCCATGCTAATCTTCTCCGTAGTCTTCCAATTTTAGTGTATGTGCTTCCAAAGTGAGCGGCCATAACATTCTCATTTGTTGTTTTTGTCATGTGCAAGGTTCAATAAGTGCTTTGACACAAAGCAATCTATAATTTTGGTCAACACACTCCAATTGCGTTGTACTCTGTTGGATATTCGGGAAAAAGTCACTTAGCCATTGACGGAGCCTACGCCAACCTGCAGAGATCAAAAGCTGAAATGAGCCACCGCCCAAGGCATTACACTTGGCTTTGCTGTACTGTGTTCTGTTTGCTCACTGTGTAGAGAGGAACGGTCCCAGCTCTGGTAAATGTCGTGTGGTAAAATGAAGTGAGTCTAAATTCTACCTTTTCATACTCAGGTTCTCTTCAGATTGCACAAATCTTCCACCTTTCAAATCCCGCCTTTACCACGTACCTTCCTGCAGATTTTGAAAGGTACTTAGGTCATTTCCAATCATAGTGCTGGGGAACTATGAAAGAAAATTTGAAGTAGGAACATAACTGTGCAAAACTTCACCCCAAAAATAAAAACTTAGAGTTATGCATGTAAAGCAGAAGACATAGTGCAGTGAACATTTCAGTTATAATATTTCATGCCCATATTAGATTTGACATAGTTAAGAAATATAAAAATATATGTTCTGTTGTTACTCTTATTGCAGTAGTTTAGGTTATACAAATACAATATTACCTTACTACAAATAACTTGAAATTTTCAAGCCTTGTTAGAACAGTAAAGCAGTATTTGCTTTGTTTTGTTATCTTTGGAACAGATTTTGAGGTTTTAACTTAGCATCATATTGTTTATGTTACTTATGATCCTAAAGCTATTACCCCAGCTGCTTCCAACTGTCATTCTCTGTCTACACGTTCTTTCCACCCTGTCCAATTCTGCCTCTTGCTCCCTGAAAAATACATTTTTGCCATATTGTGAACTCAAAGTCTTCTCTGCCCCCTTTCACCTATGCAAAAACTTTTAACCTCTCTAGTTTGGCATTTGCATTTCTTCACAAACTTGTCTCAATGTATGTATTAATTTTTGTAAAAGTTTGAATCAAGATTAGTGATTACATATTTCACTTATACATGTCCTTTGTTCTTGGTAATGTGAATTCTTCTACTGTTTTCAGGAGTTGTGTTGACCTTTTGTCCTCTGTTTCATACTTTTGACATAACTCCTCTAAGCTACATGTTTCTCTGCTCATGGCTTTCCATAACCCTTCTGTTCTTGGGGAAGTTTCCCAGAAAAATTTACATTTATTTATTTGAAAATTTAATTACAAAGTGGGGGAAAGGTAGTTTAGGTTTATTTAATATACATTGGGTAAATTTGGACCTCTTTGTTTCTGTCATAGTATACAGCACAAAACTTCCCCTTTTGGGAACTGGTAAACCACAATATACTCATACATAAGAGAATGTGAAATTGTCACTAGAGAGGGTTATATTTTTGTAGATAAATTTGTTGAAAAGTCTGTAATAAATATGATCCTACTTTCCCCACCATTTTTACCAAGAAGACAAGTTTTAAACAGTTTTAACTAAATCAAAACATTTGAAGTGCATTGATAATATTTCTATTTGTGAAAGCAATAGGAATTTCTATTTGTAAGTTCTAAACAGAAAATAAGATAAGACATTATTGAATTAAATTAGTGGTGATAACCACAAATAAAAAAGCATGACATTTAGTTGATACCTAGGCTTTTTTAGGAGAAATAAAGTATCTCAATTTATGGAATTATAAAAAAAAATGTGGAACTCAATATTGTGAGAAACACACTTAAAATTTTCTAATTCTCCCTAGCTTACTTACTAACTTAAGAAGGCTATATATATATATATATATATATATATATATATACATATATATGGATAGCTGAAATAACTGCACTGCTGATGTCTAGTGGTTTATTGAAAGGAACTGTTAATGCTTAAATTTTTTTATATTTTGACCAATTTTTCAAGCTTATACCTGGTAATCTGAGCAACTGATCTGAAGACCACAATATACAGTGGAACAACCATTGGTGAATTCCTACCTTCTTGTCTAGTGAAACACTGTGTTGTCTCTATTTTTTTAAATAAATGTTTATATTCTCTTTAATGGTTTGAACAATCTTGCATTCTTACATCTGGTAATCTGAATAATGTAGCTGAAGATAACAATAGGTAATATAACAACCACTATTAATTCCTACCATTTTGTTTTGAAACCCTGCATCACTTTTAATGCTCTTGCTTTGTTTTGTCTGTGATTTTGGTATTTTGCTATTGTTCTTTTTTTGCTACTCTCTTTAAAATAAAAAAGGACTTACAATAAAATTGAGTTAAAAAAGGACCTGTTTTATAATTTTTATCATATAGAATCTAGACTATTAAACAGATACTTACTTTATGAAGACAAAATTGGCTTAGCTTTATCATTAATCCTAAGGTTGGCCTGACACAGAACAAACTGGAACTAATGTTAAGAACTCTAAAATAATATACATGATTTGTGTATACCTGCCTTTCAGGAAAGATGATTTCACATTGTACTTTTAATAATTACTAATATACTATTTTTGAATATTCATTCTATAGATGTATTATATAGGAAGCTTTTCAGAAGAAAAGAGTACAAGGAGATTCAATTCCAAGAATTTTTCACTCAAGGGTCTATGCTGGTAATAATGAAACCACAGTTAAACCAGAATTAAGGTAAAAGTTGAACACAAGAAAAAGAAATGAGTGAAGAGTTGTTAATCAAAAATCTATGGTGTTGGGGCTGGGGATTTAGCTCAGCGTCAAAAGCGCCTGCCTGGCAAGCGCAAGATCGTGAGCTCGGTTCCCGGTACTGGAGAAAAACAAAAAAAAACAAAAAAAACAAAACAAACAAACAAACAAAAAAAATCTATGGTGTTAAAGTCATTATTATGTGAAATCATCTCTGTTAGAAAGTATAACCTTGGAGAAAAGCAAGAAGTCGCACAGTAACTGTGAGGATGCTCTGTAAAGCTTTTATAAGTCCGGCTATCACTTGGGTAGCATTAGCAGCAGCATTCATTGCATTTTTGACCATATATGATGAAGACATTCATGAAAGATTTCCAGATCTGCTTTAGAAAGTGGCAAAAATAACAGGGTAAGTATGTTTAAACAAGGGGCAGTACTTTGAGGGGGTTATTGGCAATGCTTTTCTTACTGTAATAATAATTTTAAATTTAAGCCTGTATCAATG